GGGGGGGGGGGGGGGGGGGCAATAAGCATTCATCGCAGCCGAGAGCTATACAATCCATAGCCAAATGGGTGATTCCAGCATAGACTAAATTTTGATCAAGGCACGAAGAACGAAATCCAACACCACAGCTAGAAAGAGCGTCCTAGAATGAGTAAAACTGCAAAGATTGGTTGCTAGATGTTGTAAAATGAAGAAACTATAGCCCTGTGAAGTTCGCAAATTTTGTAGTATATTTATACTACGCGCGGTAAAAATAACCAATATTTTTCCCGCGCGTATAATGCAAATACATAAAAAAATTTGCGAACTTCACAGGGCTATATGTTCCTCATTTTACAACAATTCGCAACCAAACTTTGCAATTCTACTCATTTTAAGATGCTTTCGTCCTTCTTGTCTAGATCAAAATTACAAAAACCAATACCAGCCGACAATTTCAAAAAATATAATACAAAACATAATCCGAAGGTTTCAAGATGCTTATCTTCGGATTACGTCTTGTATTATATTTTTCAAAATTACAACTTACCGAACTTGGTATAATACACATGCCCAGTTACTGGTGTTGTAGTTTATTGCAAAAACATAAAATAGAAGAAAGGTAACTAAGCTTTAAAATTATTTACACGAGTAAATAACTCTCATATATATTTTCCGTTTTAGGTTTGGTTTCAAAATCGCAGAGCGAAGTGGCGCAAACGAGAGAAAGCGTTGGGTCGTGAAAGTCCTACAATACCCCCTGGCAAACCCTTGTTAACCCCAGTACATTCTCCTGTATACTCGCAGATATCCTACCATCGTCCCTCATATTCCCCCTCACTATACGAACATTTTACCCTTCCCCGGTACGGAACGTTAGCCTATATAGGCACTACGAACATGCGACCTGGGTACTTTCGCCCGGGGTATCCAATGATTGCGGGCTATCCGTTACCCGCAGCGTATCATGGTATTCCTGTTGGAGAAACGGTGCTATCAACCAGAGACAGTCTGGACGAGTTAAGACTGAAGGCGAGAGTACATAGCGCTTCAATGGCGAAATTTATAGATTCTGAACGAAGATAGATCTTGGATATTATTATTTATACTTTATGAATTGATACTTTATGTATTTATATATATATAGTTACTTTATGTATTTATACTTTATGTATTCGGAATTCTATGTTAGCATAGAGTAAATGAACACTTCAATATACGTACAGGTACAGGTACAACTATATTATTGTGCAATTAAATAGTAAGAATTGTCGAGCAGTCACATTTATATACTCGCATGTGAGATTTGTCTATAGTAATGGCCATATTTAATTATCATGCAATCAATAAGATACCGCATGGTTTGTATCTGAGCTGCCATGGTTTGTATCTGAAATGTTTTGTCTTTTTTAAGTAGTTCAAACAGACAGAAAAGGCAGCAGCTTAGTATAGAATATTAACTATATTATCTACCTTGGACCACCACCTTTGAGATATCTTTTTCAGGTAGTTCAGACACAAACCACGACAGTTTATTGTAGAATACTACCTACACTGGACCACCACGTTTGAGATATCTTTTTCAGGTAGTTCAGACACAAACCACGACAGCTTATTGTAGAATACTACCTACACTGGACCACCACGTTTGAGATATCTTTTTCAGGTAGTTCAGACACAAACCACGACAGCTTATTGTAGACCCTATTGTAGAATACTACCAATACTAGGCCACCACGTTTGAGATATCTATCTATAGAATGCTGATATTACTCTGACTAACTTCAGACAATTTTACTGGCAATGTAAACTGTAACATTACATCAGCATAAAGTAAAATTCTTGGGTATGAAAATTAAGATACACATAAACATCATTATATATAGAAATATGTCATAGGAAATGTCGACGGAATTGCGTCATCACTTCACTTGTAATCCTCGTTCGTGTAGGAAATGCATGGGAGTACACAATCAAGTTTGTTTATTTTTAGATGTCGTTAATTGCAATTAGATTTCAGATGCAGGCCATGATGAACTTGCAGTGTTATCAGAAAATAATGTTTTCAGTTCTTTGCATCAATAGTCTAATTGTGGATCGCGCAAGGGTTTCCAGGAAACAACGCATATTTTGCAATGGATACATGGGAAGAAAGCCAAAAAAATAGCAGGGAACAAGTATATCACTTCTCAACTGTCAATTCTCCCTAGATATCCAGTAATTCAGCATGGTTCAATGTTACAAAAGTACAAATGCATAAGTTTTGCTTAAAAAAGGTTATTTGGTAAATTCCACTCGTCAGAATTTTAATTTCGCTTAGTCTAACCGCACATTTGGAATATGGTTATAATTATCTGTCGTATAACAACTACCAATATTCAAGCATCTGTTAATTATATCATTGTATACAAAGAACAATATTGTACACACAACGCTATCGACGTATTTCGCAATTAAACCGTTTCAATATCACAAGGTGGCATCAGAAAAGCCCTGTAAGTCTTAACAGAAGCTCACTGCATGCTAAAAAATAAGATGATTTAGAATACTTTAAACTGTCATTTAAAAAAGTCTTCTAATGCTGTATTTGATGATCCATGATCAGAATTTTGGACCACTTGTGGTAGAACCGTTCTGGTGGCATATAAAAAGAAATATTGTGTAGTATCACCCATTTGTAGAGACGCGTGATCAGTCAAATATTGCATTATTGTTTGAATGTCCCCTGGCGAAGGGACAAAGATAATTATTTCTTTCGCAAGAGTGGAAGTGAATTACTTAAACTAGTAGAGCAACGGTCATCTGTATCTGAACTTTGCGCAATATTATAAGGAATATGATTGTGTTTCGTAATTGCTTCAAAGTTTTAATGGCTAACTGTATTATAACAAAACTGAATTAGAGAGCGATTTGTATATACATTTATCAACAAGAGATGATCCTTACTGGATCAGAACTGATACAGCTATCCAGCATAAATAAAGTTTAGTTTAGGTTCCCTCCTGTAGTAATACTAGATCAATAACAGATGATCCTTACTGGACCTCTAGGGAGAACAGTTAAGAACTGATAGAGCAATCCAGTATAAATAAAGTTAGTTTAGTTTAGGTTTCTTTCTGTAGTAACACTGGATCAATACGAGATGATCCTTAATTATTGGCGACCTCTAAGAAGAACTGTTTATAACTGATAGAGCTATCCATGCAGTATAAATACAGTTAGTTTAGTTTAGGTTTCCTCCTGTAGTAACACTGGATCAATAAGAGATGATCCTTACTGGACCTCTAGGAAGAACAGTTTAGTAGAACTGATATAGAGCTATCCAGTATAAATACAGTTAGTTTAGTTTAGGTTTCCTCCTGTAGTAATACTGGATCAATAAGAGATGATCCTTACTGGACCTCTAGGAAGAACAGTTTAGAACTGATAGAGCTATCCAGCATAAATAAGGTTAGTTTAGTTCAGTTAGTTTATAGGTATCCAATACCAAGAAATGTCAAGTTAGTTTACTTTAGTCTTAACCTCAGAGCCAATATCGGTGATTATCATTATCTATATCATATTGGAGCGGTTTCAAGTTTCAAACTTCATACTTAGACACTTCACTTTAAAGTGGCTCACTGCGCCGCCATGGCCGTCTTTCTGCGAGGTAATCGGACGTTGTTAGCCGCTCTGAAGAGTTATATTGAGAAAAAAAGTAATTGATAGTTTGGATTTTACGCAATAATATCATAATTACATATCATGTTGTGCTTTGCAAACTCATGCACGAGTTCTAAAATGCATTAAAGGAAATCAGGATTAGTTAAATTAAGCTTTGTTGGTATAATACATTTGCAAACTTAAACTTGGCTGCTTATTGAATGACTTCAACCCATCGCTAATACAAAAATCTTTGTTTAAAACTGTTTACATTCCCAAAGTTTGCTGAATTCAGCTACTAAGCGTTACCCCTTAGATTCAATTTCAAGAATTTTAACACTCAAATTAGGAGCCAGAGAATTAAACTATGTTCCTCAATTTTACAAGACTGCAAAATATGATTTATGAAAAGAAAGAACATTATTTTCTGATCCTGATAACTGTAGGTTGACTACCAGATACTGCACGATATCTTTGGTGAAATACTATTCTAGTTTACAACAATATATGTACAGAGCTTTCTAGTAATAATATTCTCCACTGGATAAATTTTGTTTAATTTTTTTTATCAATTTTGCCCACAAACTTTTTACAAGTAGTAAAAAATAATTACAATAGTTAATGGGCTAGAGACCTTTGGAATTCCAGTTGGATTATATTGTAAGGCCCCTAGTTTTAGTATTCAAGTGATAAAAGACTATGAAAGAAGAAATTACATACAAGCAGAAACTATTTACAACAAATTGAACGATGAAAAAGTACTAAGATATAAAATAGTGCATTACTATCATTATAGTGTTGCAAAGGCTAATGCTAAGATTTTATTTACATTAATTACTAATAAGTAATGGGATTTTGCTTTTCTCTTAAACTGAAGAAAAATATGTTTTAGTATTTCTAATTTCGTCATCAAGAAAATTCCCGTAAGAAATTCCTTTGTTAAATACAGTATATTTACGGTAGTTTGTTCTTTTATAGCTCACGTGTAATCAGATGAACCTATAGTTGGTTTCAAGTATGTTGACTTTAATAAAATCCAGCAGTCATTGTGACTGTATACAAAGAGTTTGCTTACAAAGAGTGGACTTAAGTCGGTTAAAAGTGACAAACAATTACGACTTCCTTGACGCACAAATTGATAAGTGTTTGTCACTTTGTCGGGAAGAGGTACAAGACCTTGGGCGACTTGCAGTGATATTACAAGAATCTCATTCATCAAACACATGATTAACTTCGCTACCTAATTGCTGGGTGGGTGGACATATAATTGCTCTATTTTGCGTCAGAAGCTGTCGTGGTATGCGTCTGAATCACCTGGAAAAATATCTCAGACGCGGCGATCCAGTAATAATCACTCCTACCTCCAGACGAAGGCGTTTCCCAAAAAGGTTACTCCTTTTCAAGTGGTTTTTTTTTAGAAATCTCAAGCGCGAATTCTCTACATTAATTCCTAACCAGGAACAGCTGTGAAAAATGCAACTTTATAGGTCCCTGGCAGGAATCGAATCTGCGCCCTGCGATTCCGGTGCAACGCTCTAATATACGTACACATGAACGTGCGGTTAGAGCTTGACAACTGGCGTCTGTTGCTCAATTATACCAATATACTTTTTCTCAGGTAGTTCAGACACGAAGAATTAATACTACCTACACTGGACCTCCACGTTTGAGATATCTTTTTCAGGTAGTTCAGACACAAACCATGCACGACAGCTTATTGCATATAGAATACTATACATACACTGGACCACCATGTTTGAGATATCTTTTTCAAGTATAGTTCAGAGTCTGACACAAATCACGACAGCTTATCGTAGAACACTACCTACACTGAACCACCACGTTTGAGATATCTTTCTCAGGTAGTTCAGACACAAACCACGACAGCTTATTGTGGAATACTACCTACAATGGACCACCACGTTTGAGATATCTTTTTCAGGTAGTTCAGACACAAACCACGACAGCTTATTGTGGAATACTTCCTACACTGGACCACCACGTTTGAAATGTCTACGTATTTTCTATAATGCGTGCTCTATAATTAGTCCCAACTATGCAACGTTTCAACTGAAAAAACTCGTAGCCACGCGTAGGCAGTTAATTATTTGCAAAGTGTCTTCGAGGTTTGTTGTTGACAAATTTTTCAAATTCGTATCCAGGTGTAGGAGAAATGTCACGCTGCCGTTGAAGGTCGCGTGCATAAAAATATTTAAATATTTCCCACACCCCACTTGTACATTACATAATTACAGCGCATTCGTAATTACCACCCCCTTAATTCTGTCAAGATTTTTCTAAATCATATGCCGCTAATTTGTATGACCTTATAGGCACGTTCAAGGTTGTTTGCAGGACGCGATTCTCTAATTGCCAGCAGATATTTCCCCTGACGTTTTGTACTGGAAACTCCCTTGTAAATGTTTAAAGTGTTACTCGGGGGCGCGAGGTTGCTCTTTAATTAATTAACAGGGTCAGCAAATTGCCAAATTATAAGTACAATTAAGTGGTGTATACTTTAAAAAAAGGCTATCTAATTCCACCTTTGAAGTTTCTTTAAATAAAGTATACTTTTAGTAATAAGGTCAATGGCAGTTAGCTAATACTTTATTTAAAGAGAGGAAATTAAAAACAATATTAACATAGTTACCACTAAAGTATTCTTCCCTATGTCCGTCATAAAGATACTATATATATAATTATATATGACTGTGCATGTTTTATGACCTGTTACCAAAGCATTGACAAAGCACAACATGTTTGCATATAGCGCAGGGAAATTCACCCACATGTTGTACTTTATGGTTCAATTGGAGAAAGAACTCTTTAAGTTTTATTGTAAAAGATGAAATCGTATAATTTTCATTAGTTTTTAGATCACTTATCACTATAAGGTAAGGAATTGAAAAGACTTGCATTACTTTTGGGGGATATCTTATATAGCTTTACTGATGTCGGTTTCAACTAAAGGGAGCCTCAATTCTTTATATCACACCAATCAGCTAATTAATCATCCTATTTTAATAGACTAACTTTCCTTTAAACACTCTCACAATTGTATATATTTTCGTTATTAGCCTATACTATGTACTATTTTTATGACATCATGAAATTATACTAAGTAAAAAAAGTTTTGTTATAACTAGGAGTCTTAAAATAAAAGCCCAAAGGTTTTCTAAAAGATCTCTAGCCCTACGTATAGATTATAAAAATGTAAATAGTTAAATTTTATTGTACTTTGGAAAATTGGGCGAAATAAATAAATAAAAAAAAAAGTTCGGTCTCAGCAGACCTTGTGTTAGCAATGGAGACTTCGCTATAATTGTCTTTTTCACAACAGTTCCTGGTCTTGTCTAAAATGCACAAAATTTCCAATTCTTCAAAATCCCATTTACAAAAACCTTTCAACATTGTGTCAGAGTTTGTCGACCGCGTTGCAATCACAGTAAGAGCTCTTTAATGTTTTTTCAATGATGGCGTAGGCTCATTTCTTAACAGGAGCCGAAGGCTTGCCAGGAAATTGTGCACACGTATGCTTAAAGCAGCCAAAGATAAAGTTAAAAAGACGCTAATTATTCAAATTATAGTTATATTTACTCATTGATCCAATTAAATGTAAGAACAAGTAATCTAGATCACATTAACTGGACACCTCCAGTTCCATGCACTCGGAATTGAAAGTAACTAATGATTTCCTTTGCAAAACTGCATGATAAAACACCGATATTCATGATATACTCATCATGTTTGTGATCATGAATAAAATACTGGTTGCATGGATTGAAATTATATGTACTGCATGTACTCATATTTCAAACGTAGTAGTCCAGTATAGGTAGTATTTTTCATGGTTTGTGTCTGAACTTCCTGAAAAATATCTCAAACGTGGTGGTCCAGTGTAGGTAGTATTCTACAATAAGCTGTCGTGGTTTGTGTCTGAACTACCTGAAAAATATCTCAAACGTGGTGGTCCAGTGTAGGTAGTATTCTACAATAAGCTGTCGTGGTTTGTGTCTGAACTACCTGAAAAAGATATCTCAAACGTGGTGGTCCAATGTAGGTAGTATTGTACAATAAGCTGTCGTGGTTTGTGCCGGAACTACCTGAAAAAGATATCTCAAACGTGGTGGTCCAGTGTAGGTAGTATTCTTCAATAAGCTGGCGTGGTTTGTGTCTGAACTGCACATAGGTATAATTTTCTAATTTGAAATTGAAATAACTGGGACAAGATCATAAAACACTGTGATCTTTTTCAGTTAGTTTAGATCCAAGAATACCATGGTAGATATATGTACTGTACTCTGTTTTCACAATCTACAAATTATACTTTTAACAAAAGGCCTTAGGCGTATATGGAACCTATATTACTAATTGGTCACACTTAGTACATAACACAGCATTAAAGGCTTCAAGTTAAAAATCACCATACAATTGTAATTGCCACTCAGAATAAAACAAACTTTGCACCTTGGACTTCACTTTTTCGAAGACGAGTTCTCTTACTCCAGACTTATATGGACTGAAGAAGCCTTACTAGTCGGCCAAACAAAGATAATCCTTTACAACTAATTTAATCATTTACATTACACTAGCCCAAGGAAAAAGCTCTTACAGGAACACTTATGATTTACGTTAGGGAAATGGTACACCCGTTATATTTATGATATCATGTACAGATGAGGATTTTCCGCCTCATCCCACGCCCTTCTCAAGGGTTTCCAAAGTAACTGCCGTTATATAAAGTCAATATCTAAACCAATCCTCAAAAACGAATTTGATTCGAACTTACTTTACGATTTTATTTGGAATTTTCGTTAGTTCAAAATAAACAGCGAAACTTCAATGTGAATGATTGAGTCCGATACATTAATTATATTCTCTGCAAAGCGTTTTCATGAATGCATGCAGACATGAACGCCCTCGAATAACCTCATTACTCATCAAATGCGTTTATGTTTAGCCCCAATTACCATAGCAAACTTAATTGTATACGTACAGGTAATGGAATACTTTGAGCATGGGGCAAGGAAACAGGTGTTTTCTTTAGTCAAACATTCATGTCCTCCAAGGAAAGAGCCTTAGCTTTTTGCTAGTTTCAGGTAGTTCAGACAAACCACGGCAGCTGAATGTAGAATACTACCCACGCTGGACCACTACGTTTGAGATATCTTTTTCAGGTAGTTCAGGCACAAACCACGGCAGCTTATATTGTAGCATACTACCTACAACTGGACCACTACGTTTGAGATATCTTTTTCAGGTAGTTCAGATATACGATAGCTTATTATAGAATACTACCTCATCATACCTTATCAGAACACGGTAAAAAAGGGGGTTCTATATTAAGTTTATATGCTGGGGCGTAGTTTAACAATTATCATTTTTGCGTGGGGTTTCCGAGTGTGTGTCCGGTGAAGATAAAAAGCTTTTTAGGATTACAACTTAGTTGAACTGGGAAACTGCCATTATTTTTATTTCCATTAGTAGCCATGAAAACTAAATAAACTCCGGAGAGAGGTAGCTCTAGCCGGTAATGTGACTTAGTTGGTTACGGAAAAAATGTGTTGGTAAAAATAGCACGTGTTTAGTACATGTGTGTTTGACCTCTGTGACCAGGATACAATTCCTGAAATACGCAGCGAATATGAAAAGAGGCATGCTTTCAGTTTGAATCTACCAAACACACCAGAGTTTTTTCAGGTACTTTTGTTTTATTCTATAACAAAACTGGGCAAATATAGGTGAGATGATCCTTACTGGACCTCTAGGAAGAACAGTTCAGGATTGATAGAGCTATCCAGTATAAATAAAGTTAGTTTAGTTTAGGTTTCCTCCTGTAGTAACACTCGATCAATAAGAGATGATCCTTACTGGATCTCTACGAAGAACAGTTTAGAACTGATAGAGCTATCCAGTATAAGTAAAGTTAGTTTAGGTTTCCTCCTGTAGTAACACTGGATCAATAAGAGATGATCCTTACTGGACCTCTAGGGAGAACAGTTCAGAACTGATAGAGCTATCCAGTATAAGTAAAGTTAGTTTAGTTTAGGTTTCCTCCTGTAGTAACACTGGATCAATAAGAGTGATCCTTACTGGACCTCTATAGGGAGAACAGTTCAGAACTGATAGAGCTATCCAGTATAAATAAAGTTCGTTTAGTTTAGGTTTCCTCTTGCAGTAACACTGGATCAATACGACATGACCCTTACTGGACCTCTAGGAAGAACTGGTAGAGCTATCTAGTTTAAATAAGGCAAGGTGAAAAAGGGTATTCAATTTATAAATAGGAGCAAGCGCATGACGTTGGTAAGGAATATTTTTAAAATTTAAATTAATTTTCGATCCTGTATCCTGTATGACCATGCAGAAAACCTGGCAAATATAATTAATAATTGAAGCAAACATCTCATTTAATTTGGATGTTACCATGGTAACAAATTGAACAATTTCCTGTATCGAATATCGTTATATAACTTTAGGTCATGTGATACTTATGGTTTATTCACGTGGCCTATCTTCATGAGCACCAAAGAAAATATCTTTATTTATACTGGATTGATAGAACTATCAGTTCTAAACTGTTGTACCTAGAGGTCCAGTAAGGTCATCTCTTACTGATCCAGTGTTACTACAGAAGAAACCCTAAACTAACTTTATTTATACTGGATAGCTCTATCAGTTCTAAACTGTTCTTCCTAGAGGTCCAGTAAGGATCATCTCTTATTGATCCAGTGTTACTACAGGAGGAAACCTAAACTAAACCAACTTTATTTATACTGGATAGTTCTATCAGTTCCAAACTGTTCTTCCTTGAGGTCCAGTAAGGATCATCTCTTACTGATCCAGTATTACTACAGGAGGAAACCTAAACTAAACTAACTTTATGATGCTGGATAGCTCTATCAGTTCTAAACTGTTCTTCCTAAAGGTCCAGTAAGGATCATCTCTTATTGATCCAGTGTTACAACAGGAGGAAACCTAAACTAAACTAAACAAATTTTATTTATACTGGATAGCTCTATGAGTTCTAAGATGTTCTGCCAAGAGGTCCATTAAGAATCATTCCTTATTGTTCTGAGTGTTACTAGAGGAGGAAACTAAAGTACCTGAAGTAATCTTTTTACACTGAAATGTATCGTCACGCTATACGCTCAAACTGTCCTTAATATTGAAATATTGTTCTCTGTTTTGTGATATGTTTACCGATTGCCAACCAACTTTTTGATTCCTCGAAACATTCTTCATTATTTATAGCAGCATCTCTTAACCAACCACTTGGCCTGTGCGAAACATTTTCGCTGGGAAAACTTAAACCATAAAAATATAATAATTCTTTATAATTCTTCAGGGGTACATCAGAAGCAGTAGAAATCTGATATCAATATATGGTACGTAATTTGATGATATCTATCTTATAAAATCACATACTACAAACAAAATTTAATATTATATAACAGTCATAATTAAGAGTTACCGCATAATTAAGAGTTACCGTTTAAAGACACTGAGCCCCCACGTTGGAGATATGATTTATGTTGTACCCTACTCTCTGCATACATTTACTGTAAAAACCAGTTCAGCAAGTAAAACCAGTTGCAAATTCACCAAGGCAAAATGCATCGCAAAGAAATATAAATGAAAATCCTGCGTCTTGTATTATTACGACATCAAACTTTTTGAATTGTAATATTGATCGGGGTACATTCTAACGGTTTAACGGATATATAATTACGGCTAATCATTACACAATGTTTAAAGCGGCCATCTATGAAGTTTGCAAATTCACTGTTGATAATTAATCTTCCTCTTCTGTCCCTTGAGGGCAAATATATAGTTTATAAAGAACTTTTTATGTACACTGCTCTGACCTTTGTATATGCATGTCAGAAAGGATATTACGACATATAATTATGTTAATTTATACGGATGTAACCATATTTAAGGAATGGACACACGATCTTTTTTCCATAACCGAGCAAGAAGCTGAAGCGCTCAGAAGTCAAGTGTCACAAAGTACAAAGACTTAACAGTACAAGATTTTACCTCGAAGAGCTATCCGACAAGCCATGAAGGGAGACGAAATCAATGGTAGCTCACAAAAGAATCATTCAATAGAAGCGATTTTAGGAATCGTACCAAGAAGACGTTCATCTTCAAAAATCCCAAAGTCTTTTATACCATATCCGGAGAGAAGCAGTGGTAAGAATACTATTGATTGTAACGGATAGTAAAAATGTAACAAATTAACAGGTTTTCTTCTTTTGTTCGTTGATCCACAGCAATGTCACAATTATCTGCAAGGAAGACAATCGTGTCTCTGAAGAATATTTTGAAAACAATTGTGCTGAATCGCTTTTGTTTCGGTGTTTCGTTTAACACTACAGGAGTTAGGATATAAGATGAGGAAGACCCAATATATTCTATATACAAAAAGCATGCTATTGCTTAGACAGACTCGTATAGTGACTTAGTGCATTTTCAAGTCGATAAAAAAGAAAGTTTCTTGTTCTTCTGAGCAACCAGATCGTATAAAAAGTTTCATATGTTAACATGCATCACGTATACATTTAGCATGAACGGTGTCAACAGAAATACATCTACAGCTTTTTGAATTTATTTAAATGTCAGCCTTTAAATTAAGGGCTAGCAACCTTTGATTGCAAACGTTTTCTCGTTGTTGGTATATCCATTTGTAACAAGCTATGGTTTGTGTCTGAATTACCTGGAAAAAGATTAAAAATACTTCGACATTTTAATTAAACGAAGCCAGTTCGCCAAGAGGACAATGCTATATACAAGCTAACTACTTAACGAAGGGCTTCAATACTACGCCCGAAATGGTCTGAATTCTTTTCACACTATTCCAACACAAACCTCGGCGATTGTTATACAATATAATCTATATACATGCGCTGGATCTCTTGCTCGTTTGAGAATCTATCTTTATCACTTTACCTTGAAAGGTATTGAATTCTTTTGGCCACTTGCCATCCGGAAAAGTTCTAGTTATGAAAATACATGTCACTAAATCTTGCCACGATCTGGACTATATGTGCATTGCTTTCCCAAAAAGGCAAGCAAGAAGATTGTGCAGACGAGTGACTTTTTCTAACAAATCTACCTGTACTTGTCTGCACAAGGAACCCGGACAAGACATGCAGCCATCTTGTCCGAAATAATTTTAACTTGCCAAAGGCAAGCAAATGAGAGTTTAGTTTGAGTTTATTGAGTTTCGCACTCATTGGTGAGCGGATTTCCCAACAGGCTGTATTGCCCAATGGATAGGGGATCCGAGGTACCTATGATTTTAACGTCCTTATCCGAGAAGACGCGAAAGTCTAACCTTTTTTTATGTCAATGTAAAGATAGCTCTTTCTCCTCAATTATTTTAAGACCTTGCATGAGTCCGACCAAGGATTATAAACCCGTGTCTCCCAGCTTGAAAGCCAAGCGTGGTGATCACAACACCACAAACGAACTAAGTTTATAGATCACTATATATTTGCTCTGACGAAGACCCAGGTTTACCGATCAAAGAATAAAGATACGTAGTGTTTTCTACAACACAACACAAAACAGCCACTTTACTGTAACACATATAAACTTTCTTCATTGTTTTTTCTATAAAGGAATGAATTCACTGAAGGGACGGCGAAGCAGACGCAATCGTACGGCGTTTACAGCACTGCAACTACAAGAGCTTGAAAAGATTTTCGAAACATGCCATTATCCGGGAATTGAGATGAGAGAAGAGCTTGCTGACAACATTAAATTGCCCGAAGCGAGAGTTCAGGTGAGTTGAAAATGAAAAACTTTACAATACAGTGCAGTGTACAGTAGGTGGTTTTACTACATGAGAAAGCTTCAGAATGATGTATATACAACTACCAGAAAAATACAAGGAGAACTTCGAACGTTTCGAGCGAAGGCCAATTTTGTTTGTTGAAAAAGTATATGTAAACATTTGTAATTAGTTGGCCAGCATCTCAAACGCATCAATATTGTTATATAATTTGTCATGTTTTATACATACGTTCCAACTAAACTGTATGCTGCTGCATCAGAAATTAGGCTAAGTACTTTTATGTGAAGTTTTAGTCCATTATATAAACAAAATTTATAGTCAAAATTTTCATTAATTTTTTGAAGGCTTTATTTTCTTGTTAAATTTAGACATAAAAAAAAATCGGATATCGATTAATTTACAGGGCTGTTCATTAAATATAAGTCAGTCGGTAAAAGTGCGGTAATTATTAGTTCCTGTTTTTTGTTACTTCTTAAAGAGTTTTGATTTGAGCAATAAAGCGTTGAAACAACATCGCATTACAGCATGTTATAGTTTCAATTATTATCAAATAATTGATACTGTAACATGCTGTAATGTTGTTTCAACGCTTTAATGTTCTCTAATGCATGGAATGTTACGACCCACGCCTAGCCACGTATATATATTAGATAATTCTCTTCAATTATTGCGCTTAGATGGCAAATAGGGTAAACATTTTACCCCTAAGTGCTGTTGTAGGTTAGATCATGTAGAGGTATTAAACGTTCTTGTAAGCTATCGTGAAGTGATCTGATGTTATACACTTATTTAAGTACAGAGTTTACTCATAAGTTCCATATATTATCTCAGCAGTAAGTTCTGTAAAACATCAGATCACTTTAGGATAGCTCATATTCAAGAACATGTATACCTCTGTATGATCTAACCATGCATGCTTAACTTAGCAGTGAGTTCTGTACAACATCAGTCGGATCACTTTAAGGTGGCTCACATTCAAGAACATGTACTACCTCTGTATATGATCTAACCATGCTTAACTCAGCAGTAAGTTCTATACAACATCAGATCACTTTAACCTAAGGTAGCTCACATTCAAGAACATGTACTACCTCTGTATGATCTAACCATGCTTAACTCAGCAGTGAGTTCTGTACAGCATCAGATCATTCTTGAGTAACTCAAATTAAAGAACATGTACTACCTCTGTATGATCTAACCATACTTAACTCAACAGTGAATTCTGTACAACATCAGATCGTTTTTGAGTGACTCAAATTCAAGAACATGTATTTTGGCGCAACATCAGATAACTTTAGAGGCCAATGTTAATGTCTTGTTTAAAAATAGACAAAGAATATTTTTAGCTCTTTTTCTCCAGTCCTAATAAAGTATCATTTTAATAATCATACTAATCAGTATCATTTTCGTAAACCTATAGGTGTGGTTCCAGAATCGCCGAGCAAAGCATAAACGTATTGAACAAGTCAAAAACTCGATGTACGGTTTTTCTGAAGAATCTCTTACGATGGACTTGACTGATAAAGACACAACACCCTACGACAGTTATGAAGAAAGAATCGAGGAAGTCAAAATGAACATTGGTTCATCATTCACGCGATATATAACCTTGAGTAACAATGTCAGGGATTCAATATCCCACCCTTATCCCTGTGTGCCCGTTTTGGTGTACAACCCGCGTACAGGCAGCGATCCTATTGTTTCAAGATGATTTTTATATCAGATAACTTTGTGGGATATTATACTGTTATTACGAGTTACAGCTTATATTAGGTATGCACTGAAGTGTATACATTATTCATCCCAAAACGTTTGTAAATGCATGTGCAAATATTTAAAGACATTGATTGTATATTTATTATTGTAAATTATATGTAAATAACATATTTTAAGAATTGTATATAATTATAGTGTTTTGCAATAGGTTACATGAATAGAATTTTCATATTTAATAATGATAAGCCTTCCATATTTCAATGCAATGTAGTTGTACACCACATTGCACCACATTTGGGCCGAAAGTGGTGGATTTTCCGGCGCGTAATACAAATTCATACAAAATTTGCAAATTTCGTAGCGCTATATTTTCCTCATTTTACAACATTTTGCGGCCAAACTTTGCAATTTCACAAATTTTAACATGCTCTTTCTAGCTGTGGTGATGGATTTTGTTCTTCTTGCCTAGATCAAAATTTAGTCGAAAGCTGAAATCCTTTATTAAATGTACTAACATTCTGGTAAATACTAAGATACACTATCAATATTATATATAGATACCTTTAAATTGATCATCAACTACAGTCAGTTAAACTTCAGCATATCCCATGATATGTGGCTTGACTAAAGGTCCAACATTTCGGGCTTCAAACGATTGACATTTCACCGACTTAAATCCAGCTTTTCTTATGGAGTCTTCGATATCTCGCATCAAACGACATCCATCACCGAAATAAAACCACCATGGCTGGTTCCATTTTTGAAGAGTTAACGTGAAACCTTTACCTACGAACAGATCGTTATATAAGCTTATTCCTTTGCACGAGATTCCGAGGGAAGGTGATTGCTAATCAGATGCGTTTAATCTATACACGTAAAAACGCACAAGTTGTAACAAACCTGCAGCAGACTTGTAGCAATGCTGTTCCAACAACTTGTCAACAGGATGTGTTCGCACTGCTTGTTCCCAGCTTGTTGACAACTTGCTACAAGGTTGTTGAGCTCAACAGACTTGTTGCAAGTTGTTCCAACAACTTGTTATCGCCCTGCAATTCAACAATTTTTCAACAAGTTGCGAGTGACAACGTTGTGGCAACTTGATGAAATAACAACATTGTTACAACTTGTTGTTATAAAACACGCCTTTTTCGAACACATCTTGTTGAAGTTGTGATATTTTTATGTGTGCAACTCTACACGCGTACAAATGTCACATCTTGTATCAAATTTGCCAACAAGCCGTCAACAAGTTGTGTTCGCATTGCTTGCCCCAAATTGTCAACAAGTTTGGAACTTGTTAACAGTTGCAACAACCTTGTTGATGTTATCAGACTTGTTGCAAGGTTGTTCCAACAAGTTCGATACAGTCATGATATAACAATATTGTTACAACCTTGTATCGTCAATCTTGTAACATTCTTGTTACATCATGACTGCATCAGACTTGTTAGAACAACCTTGTAATAAATCTGATAATGCCATCAAGCTTGTTACAACAACTGGGAACAAGCAGTGCGAACACGACTTGTCGACAGCTTGTGAACAGATTTGTAACAACTTGTTTGCAGACTTGTAACAATTTGTGCATTTTTACGTGTGCAGGTGTTGCTGTCTATATCTCACAACTCGCCAACAACACACGTAAGAACGGATACTTAGTATTAATGAAGGACGACTGCTAAATTTCATCCTTTTGCCTTCGGTGCATATATTTCCGTACATATAACACATACCTTTTACATGCTCCATAAAGTAAAATCTTCCTCCCTAGAACGAATAGAAGGCAAATCTTGGTTAAATTAACTTGTAATATTCGGCACAAAAATGTGGAGGATCAGCGTGTTAGTACTCTGGAATATAAGCTATCGTACTTTGTGTCTGAACTACTTGAAAAAAGATTAGGTTTTGATTCTTAGTCGGGTGTTTATAACTAACGTTGCTATTCTTTCGACGCAAGAAAGAAAATATGAAACGAAAACGTTCAACGAAAATTTTGCCAAGAAAGTCCGAACCCGCCGTTTGCCAACGTGAAGCTTAAACTCCCTAATAGAGACCTTTAGATTGACGTTTACGGCAAACGGCAAACCGCTAGCGAGGTTTTTGATTTTACAACTCTATTATAATAACTTTTACACCAGTTTTGAAATATGTTAAACTTATTAAACTTGTGCTCTTTAGCAATGAATTAAGAAAGCCAATTGACCACTAGTCATGCCATTCACCAAAGCAGTAAATTAAGATTTGTCGTTTTAAGTTGACGTTTGGCGTATAAATTTCATGCTTTAACGGCTACAAGCCCTCGTAGCAGTTCAAGCATGAAATTTATACGCCAAACGTGAAACGTCAACTTCAAACGCCAAATCTTAACTTACTGCTTTGGTGAATGGCATGCGGACTAATGGTTAATTTACTTTCTTAGATCATTGCTAAAGAGCACAAGTTTAATAAGTTTAACATATTTTAAAACTGGTGTAAAAGCTATTATAACAGAGTTGTAAATCAAAAACTTGCTAGCGGTTTGACGTTTGCCGTAAACGTCAATCTAAAGGTCTCTATTATCACAGTTTCACTTCGCGGGTAAAAACTGCCGAATTGCGTTAACTGTACGACGCGGATGAATCTACGACGCGGACGTGACGAAAAACTGCCGCTATTATCAGTTTCACTTCACGGGTAAAAAAACAAAACCAGGGACACGAGAAAAAACAAAGTAAAACTAGTCTCCCGTCGCGACGCAGGTTTGGTGCATCTTAAACTCCCTATTGGCTATTGCCACAACACGTCGCGTTGTATCCGCCTCTTCCACAGTCTCTCGTTATATTTGAGTTAGCATGGCAGATTATATGCCCGTTCGCGGGTTAGACCCATTCCCATCATC